AAAAAAAAAAAAAAAAAAAAAAAAAAAAAAAAAAAACCGAACAGTCTCATGAATATCAGCCCAAGGGGAGCAGGAGTGAGCTGTTCAGAGATGAAAGTGCACAGAAATAAAAGCTCAATTTAATCTGCTTTAAAACCCTTCAACTTAACGTTTGTGCTTCAAACTCTGAGAGTGGGGACTGATTGCGGATAAATAGTTTCTTACCATGCCTGGAAGCTATTACACCCCTCTCCAACACAGTTTCCTATTCAGCAGTCCCAGTTTTCATTACCAGCTCTAATAAGTCTTAACATTATTAAATGCCAAGCGGACGATAGGAAAAAACGGACTCAGGGAGGGATCTCTCTTTAGTGCTTAAAGAGGAGAGCTCTTAAACCCCTTCTTTGGTGGCTCCCCGCCATGAGAGGGGCAAACTCCCCCTGGAGAAAGCATTTTTTAAGAGCAAGAAGCCCAAACAAAGTTGTGGGTAGGCACCTCTTCCCCTGCTCTGCCCAGAGGGTATCTCTAACTCTCCCAACCTGGACCACTCAGGTGGAGGTTCGGAGGTCTTTTCACCTTTAACTTGGCCATGAAACTGATGTCTGGGGCCTGGGAGAGAGACAAGGAGTTCATCGGGATGCCGGCCCACTGGCACAGGAACTCAAATCAGAAACCAAGAAAATTTGTCAACAGAGGGATCTACAGCCCCCTCCAATCTGCACTGTCATCCTGCCCATTTACATCCGTGTGCAATCACACTGCACACCTATGCAGAATCCCACTTGCACAGACATAGCATTCTGATCCAAAGGCCCATGGTAAACAGTCACACTGAGAGATGCATGCGCTTACACAGCCATCCAGCCCGCAATCACAGTGCCTAATGTACCCGCTGTCACTCAAAAACCGCGGGGCTTTCTGGACACCAGTCTACTGCATGAGACCACTTCATTTCTGCAAGTTCTCTGTAGACTCAGCACCTGTGTTCTCAGCCCCCTTCTGGAACTGCCAGACTCCTCCTTAAACCCTTGGAGACTTGGAGCTTCCTGGTTCTGTTGCAGGGAAAACCTCCATCCAGCGAAGTCATCTGTTAGCTGCTTTTGTAAGCCCAGATCAGCATTGGAAGCCCCTGAATTTCCATGAGTCAAAGGGATCCCCCAAACCACACGATCTTTACATCCTCTTCCTTTCCTTTCCTTCTTTTTCAGAGGAAATGTATCTATTTTCGCTTCCTAACAGTCTGAATTGGACATCCCCCGCCACACACACACACCTAAAGTCTCTCCAAATAAAACCAAACCTCCTTCCACTTCTCTCTGCAGTAACTCTCAGAAGAGGTGTCTGTCGTGCAATATTTGTTCCGGCAAGATTAAAGTTCTATACCCCCTCCCCCTGAAGTCCAACGAGTGTCTTTCCTATAGGAACTGAAATAAGGACTGAGTCCCCCCGCAGGGGTCCCAGGGCTCTGGGCTGACTTGCCAAGCCAGGGGCTGCTTGGCAGTGCAGGGCTGCCTCTGCTGCAGACCCGAGGCCCCTCCGCAGGCCCGGCACAGCAGGGTTCCAGGCACAGCCCGCTCCTATTTTTCCCTGGCCCTTTTGTCCTGGGCGGGACTGCAGCTCCACTAGGGGCCCTGAATGTCAATAGCCCACCCCTTTTCCTACTCCAGGCGGCTGTCACGCAGGGCTGCCCGCCCCCCAATCCTTCCCCCTCAGACCAGGCCTGTGGGGGCTGGGCCTTGCTCGGAGTTGTCTTTGGAAGCGGGCTTTGTCTGTGAAGTTCATCTTCAAGGTTGGGAGGAACTACTGAGAACTGGAGACAGACCTGGGATAGAGAGGGGCGCGCTCTGGAAAGATACTGGAGCAAAACTTGCTCTGTACAAGCTTCCGGGTTCCAGAGCATTCCCTTATTTTTTCCAAAGCCAACATTTTGTAGGTTCCCATGGCCGTTGTCTTTCCTGTTCTCTCCGCCTGCCATCTCCGTGTGTGTGTGTGTGTGTGTGTGTGTTTGGGGGCTTCTCCTCCCCGTCAGTCATTGTGACTCTGGATCTTCCTTTTCTATTTCTCTCCATGTCCCCACTTGATACATACGAAGTCCCAAGAAGAACTTCTACGCTAGGGAGTTACGAGGAAAGGTTTTCCCAAAACTTCCCCGGGTGGAGAAACAAAAGCGTAATCGCGTTCCCCGGGCGTGCAGGCGCTTGAGACATAAACGCCTTCCTTAGCTGGTCACGGGAGAAGCGGGGCGCTGGGCTCAGGCTCCAGCCCGCGCACGGAGGCCGTGCAAAGCGTGGGGGGTGGGCGCGTGGAGCCCGGATCTCTCCCCCACAGGATCCTCCGACCCTCAGCCCCTGGGAACTCGGCCTCACCTCCCCGCCCGGCCGGCGCAAGCCAAGGGGGAAAGCAAAGCACCCTTCTGCCCCCGACTCCGCCCCGGCAACGCGGGACCGTGAATGGGGCGGCGGCCTGGCTCATTTTTATTGATTGCAGCGGTCAGTCAACTGTCAGGGGGTTTCAAGGGACCGTTTAGAGAGCGTGTGCGGGTCTGGTTAACAAATTCATTTAGGGAGCGGCGGGCCGGCTCCTCCTTCCTCGCCCCCCGCCCCCTTGCCCAAGTTCCCTATAAATAATTGATCGACACCGGGACTAGCAGCCCAAACGCCAAGCCCCGCAGGACGCTGGCTCCGGAGCGCTCGGGTGGAGCGGGCGGCGCACGGAGCCGCACCC